ATCGAAGCTTCGAATTTCTGAATCTTCGACACGTTATATTTGAATAATAAAATTTTGAAGTGTGAAAATTTGAACATTCGGCTATTCGAATGTTTGAATGTTCGAAACTTCAAGAACCAGAAAGCACGTGTGTCCATTTTCAATTCTCCAAATTCTCCTATTGCATATGAAAGCGTTGTGAAATCCATTGAAAAAAAATTGATTTAAATTTAACACGTCGATAATGTCGTCACTTTTGTGCCAGCCCCCCCCCCCCTCTCCCACCCCTTCCCCGACCGATTATTCACAAATAATCTCGAAAAACGCGTGCAATCTGAGAACCAAAGATATTTATGCCTCGAGTCGAATTTGCGATGGTACTTTGACGCTCTTAAAAATAATTTGCACCTGCTTGACCTGTAGAAGACTATTAAAAACCTACTTTGATGATACTTTTAACTTCTCTTTTGAACTTTTAATTCTGCAGATTAAATTTTAATCTTATTTTCAACAACCTATTTTGACGATAAACGGTGAAAACGTAAGATATCATTAGGGTCAAAAATGTAAGAGTACAATTATATTATTAAATTGAAATCGTACGTATTTTTTGCTATATTAATTCCTACTATGTTTTGAAAACAAAAGTTTAATATAGAGCCGAAATTCCGGAGGCCCGATGTGCCAATTTCGGTAAACGCGCGCCGGTGAGTTTCGTCGCGGAATCATCAATTGGAACGGTCAGCGACGCGATAGATCGCACGCCGGGTCGAAAACCGCGCGCGCTTTACCGCCCGCGATATTCGTAAAAGTCCGGGGGCGTGTAGATAGCGCGCGACGTACCTGGGAGTAATCACGCATAGTACCTACCTGGCTGGCATAGCCGATCGATTACCGTGTAGCCGCGGTGCACACGCCTGCCGCCGCGTACCGCAACTACGTGACAAATATTATCGCGATCGACCGACCCGCTGCGTTTGATGTGGACGCGTTTATGAAATGCCGACACGCCGATAATCATGCGCGCGGCCAGCGCCCAAGGCTAAATCCGATTTGTAATATTAATCCCGACGTCGCGCCTCGCGTCTCTCTCCCTTTCTCTTTCCCTCTCTGCCGTCTCTGTGCTCGCTTAATCGATGCACCTTTAATTGAGGAATCGTAAATACCGTACCGTTTCCGGAACGCGTTCTTCGAATATCGCGAAGAAATTTTCACCGGAAGATCCAACTTCCCCGCGATCATCAATTATTCGATGTGAAAAAAAAAGAAGGAAAGTTCAGTTGCATCGACGTGAAAAAAAATTCCTCGATCGTGTTTCTAAAGCGATTGATGTGAGCAAGATAAAGTATTCAAACTGCGTGTATATCACACGTGTAAAGATTCAAGGCGTGAAGTTTGCCCCCTCTCTCTCTCTCTCTGTCTGGCCGCATAAAATTAGTCGCCGGGACGATGGCCGAGCGGGAACGGTTTGATTAATCGCCGGTATAATCCACCGGAAGCGTTGTTTTTCCGATTGGGATTGTTCTGATTACGGCGCCCCCGGATCGGGTGTCAACGATCCTGCGTTTAGCGCGCGATAAACAGCCTGAACAAACACCGGCGGAAAAGCTGTGCTTTTAACACGGGGGCGCCGAAACAAATCCGCGCCTCTTTGTGAACTAACTTGTTTTGCGCGAGCTACCAGAAGCGTGTTCTCCAAACACGCCCGTCGCCATTATGCGGCCAAATGGATCGGTATATTTAGTTGACTTTGGCCCGCATTCAGATCCCGCGCGCGCGGCAAGATCTCTCCAGCCGGTCGCCGATGATGTATATATGGCGCCGTAGATTTGCCCAGAGTGACATTTAGCGTATGCTCGCTAATTGTCGCTAGCGCTACATTTCTCTCTCTTTCTCTCTTCCTCCTCTTCAGATTATCGGTCTGTTTCTGTTGGCCCATTGCTGTTTTCTTTCTAAAACCTTATAGAAGATCGCGCACAAACAGCCTTGTTCTCATCTCTCAATTAACGACCCACTTGGTTCTCTCCAATCGGATCTCAGGAGAAGCCACAGCACGCAAACAGCGCCTAGTAAATGGCTCGGTGATGTCAAAGTGGTTATCGATAATTTCAAAGTCGCAACATTAGTGCAGTTCGGGCGCCGCGGAGACTTTAATTTTGACGGCTCCGTGACCTTCTCCCGCACAAATTATAGGAACCCCTATGCTCGCTCTTCGTATTGTCGTGGTTCAAATCGTATGTAAGAGTCAGATAGCATGAGGTGAAATAGCTACCAGTGGATTTTTTTCGTCAAGGGTAGCAGCTTTCGCTGATGTCTCTTGATACAGCGGCTTTGTCGGTTTTGGTACCTACGGAATAAAAAACATTTTATATTTTTGTTGAAATCGATCCTTGTTGAAAGTTTTGTGTTGGATTCTCAATATAGTCGTGTGTTGATTTAATATATAGTAATTATGTTATTAATTATGTTATTAATATAATAGTTTATTAATATATGTTAGTAATAAATAGTGATTGTGTTCTTTGAAAATGCGTAAAATGGGATTCAACATTCTTTTGTGTTGAAATAACACAATTTATATGTACGTATACGTTTAACATGCGTGGTAGCGTGTGATCGCGCGTTTTATCCCCGCGGAAAGACAATGCGGCGGCTTTGGTGACGAGCATTAATCGGAGACCGCTAGACTTGAAAGAACTCGGCGGCGTGTGTCGGCTCGATTCAAAGCTACGCCAATCGACTGCACAATAGCGGCGATCCGGACTCGGTCGTTTGCTCGCTAACTGGCGCTCTACGATAACTTACAAGTTGTCGAGTTATTTTTCCTCGGTAACAGTTGCCATCTGTTAATTATTGATACATTATGTGTGTTATTTCTTAACGTATTCACCTTGCGTTAAATTAACACGAGAAATTGCGTGGACCGTTTAGGACATGTGAGGTGTATGTAAATTTAACACACAATTTTTTACCGTGTGTCTAAAGCTGAGTGAAGTGCAACAAATGGAAACTTTACGTATTGAAGAGACCAAAGCCACATTGTGTCCATCATAATAAAAAACATTCTGTACTTTTGTTAACATCGGTCCATGTTAAAAGGCGTTGAATTCTCAACATAGCCGCGTGTCAATTTAACATATTGTGATTGTGTTATTTGCAGATGTGTAGAATTGAATTCAACATTCTTTTGTTTGTTTGTTGAAATAACACAATTTATATGAGTAGAGATTTAACACGCGTGGCAAGGCGGTTATCTTATCCCCACGGAAAGACAATACGGCGGCTTTGGCGACGAACATCATCAGTGGAAGACCGCTAGACTTGAGGAATTCGGCGGCGTGTGTCGGCTCGGTTCAAAGCTACGCGACTGCACGATAGCGGTGCTTCACGCTCGGTCGTCCGTTCTGCCTATTCTATAACTATTTAACAACAATGTCACTAGCCTGGGTCGTCGTTGCGCAGCTTTCTGCCATATTATATTATACCGCGCAATGATGACGTAACGATAACGAGACTGTCGTTAAAAATTACAGAATAGGTACATTGGCGTCCTACGATCACTTGCAATTTTTTAGTTATTTTTTCTCGATAACAGTCGCCTTCTTAATTAATTTCTGACATATTTGTGTTACTTTTTAATATATATTCAATCTGTGTTAAATTAACGCGGGAATTTGAACGGACCTTTCGGGACATGTGGAATGTGTGAAATTCGACGCGAAATTTCTTACTGCGCATGTCAGAGTCTTAAACGAGGAGAGAAACTCGCCCGACCGCGTCTCTCTACCTCCTGTAATTTCTCCGGGTACGCGAATGGCGGCACGGTAAAACAATTTTGTGTTTTAGATTTAACATTTCTCACACGTCCCGCACGGTCCACTCATATTTTTGCGTTAATTTAAGACAAAGTGAATACGTTAAATATGAAATGAAGTAACCCGAATGATATGTAAAAAATTAACAAACGGCCGTTGTTATCGAGGGAAAATGACTCGAAAACTTGTAAATGATCGTGGGGCGCCAGGCGGCGAGCGAACGAGCGAGCGCATTGGTCGCCGCTATCGCGCAGTCGGATCGCGTGGCTTTGAACTGAGCCGACACACGGCGCCGAGTTCTTTCAAGTCCAACGATCGCCGATTAATAATGTTCGTCGCCAAAGCCGCCGCATTGTCTTTCCGCGGGGATAAGGCGCGCTTAAATCTTAAACTCACATATAAATTGTACATACAAATTATTACTTGAACGCAAAAGAACCGTCGTAATTCAATTCTACCGGGCATCTTCAAATAACGCAATCGCGGCATGTTAAATTGGCACACGCGGCTACGTGTTGAGAATTCAACAGGAAACTTCCAAACACACGGGGACCGATTTTAACGAAAGAGCAAAGTGTTTCTTTTTCTACTATGGGTGACCGCAATATGACGGTTTTCGCGTCGCCGTTTACGCTTACGAGTCTCTGATCTCCGGCCGACCACGCAGGCGGATAGACAGATAAGCATATTTTTCCCCACCATCTTTTTCGCAAACCGTCCGAGATAGGAATTTACCCAACAAAGTGTTCACGTGGAAACTCCCAATGCGTCAGTCGCTTTGCCCTCATGGAAATCTCAATGCGAGACGGACCTTTAGCATGCGCGACGTCTGTCCTGGCGTCCTCGCAGACGGAAATCCTTATCTGCCGGCGTCGCCAAGCGGTACAGTCCGGATCGGCAGTGTCGGCGACGGGGACCGGGCACGTCGCCGGGTCTCACGACGAAGCGGGCAAGGCAGGCACGCATGAACGCCGGGACGAGGAACCGACTGTACGCGTCTCTCGTCTGGTGTGCCCCCTCTGTCTCGCTCCCACTCGCCGCCACCACCGCCGCCGCCGCTCTCGGCCTCGCGTTCCCGTTCTCTCGCTCTAACCACCCCTGCCCGCTCCCTCCCCGTGCCGTGGCAACCAACGAGCCGGGGCCGCTTTCGCTTTGTGCGCGCCGGGGCGGCGGTACATCAAAGCCTTCTAGTTCCCGCTCCGGCCTTTGACGGTCGCGTCGCGGCCGCTCGCTCAGTCATCGCTCGGTTGTAGGCGATGCCGCCGCGCCGTAGATGAGCTCGCGCGCGCGCGCGCTCTCGCACGAAGAGCGCGAGCTCCTCGGGAAATCGTGAACTCGTCGTTCACCGCGTGCGTCTGGTGATTCGGTGTCGGCCCCGTGTTCCTCCTGCTACCACCAGCCCGTGGATCGCGCGTGGGAATCGCGCAATGTCGCCTCGAGGTGGCAAGTGCGCGCGTGTCGGCAAGGTGGCCAGCAAGGGGCGCCAAACGCGCGCTCAGCACGCCTCTCTGGAAACGACGACGACGACGACAATGTCGACGACGACGACGATTACGACGACGGCGACGATGGTGACGACAAGCGGGACGGCGATGGCGACGTCGGCGATGATGACGTCAAGCGGAACGGCAGTCGCGGCGACGAGAATGGACAAGCCCGCGGTAACGACGGCGTGCGAGGGTCGATCGCATTGGTCGGGGCGCATGCGCCAGTCCCTGGAGAGCAGCTCCGAGCCCCGTGAAAACGGTACCCCGGTGCTGCATCGTTACCCGGAGAGGCAGCGACGGCGAGAGAGACACGGCACCGGTAGGAAGCATCGACCGGCGCGGAACAACGGCTCCTCGTGCTCGTCGACCTCGTTGTCGTCGCCGCCCGCGCTCTCCTCGCCGTCCTCCTGCGCGTCCTCGCGCCGATCGACCTCGCCGCCCTCCAGCACCTCGTCGCCGGCGCGCTCCTCCACTTCCACCGCGTCGACGGTAGCGAGCGACCCGTTGGCGATCAAAGCGGAGGACGTGCCGATCGAGCACGCGGCCGGGATCGGGAAGCAAGAAGCGGGCACGAGTCAGGACGCCGAGGAAACCAACAGGCCGGAGCACAACAACAGGACCGTCCATGGAGTCGCGGAGACGACGGCATCGGCGCCTACCTCGTCCACCATCGTCTCCTCCTCGTCACCGTTCCCCTCCCCCGTGTCCACTTCGTCGGCGTCCTGCCGGACGTCGACGCCGCGCGGCTACTGCGACGTCGCGCACGCGTCCTCGTCCGCCCTCGAGAGGCTGAGGAGCACCCTGGAGAGCTACGATCGCAGCCGCATATACCTCGCCCACGTCTGCTACCTGGATTGGCGGGATCTGCCAGGTAAACGGCGCGACACGAGGAGCAGCGAGCGGGTGTGGGTGGTGGGGGCCGCGGATCACGAGGGCCACCATCGGACGCGGTTGTTGGTCGCCGGTCGCCACTGGCGGCCACGTTGCCTGCGGAAGGTCAACATGCTGAGTCAACCGGTGGTCTACGCCGGCGGCGGCAGGGGTTCCTTGACCGCCGACCTCTTCCTCTGGTGGTTCCACCACGAGTTCGCGGTGACGGCGATGGCGATGCACCCGGACGGCGCGGTGCTGGTGGCCGAGAGCGCCGATTACCTGCCGCCAGAGGGTGACTGCGTCGCCGCGGACGGCCTGGTGCGGCTCTTCGTCGTGCCGAAAGACTGCATGGAGACGCGACTGGTGGTCCGCGAGCTCAGGGTGCGACTGGCCACCGGCGTGCTCTCGAGGGCGCGTTGCGGCCTCTACCGCGATAACCTCGCCGCGGAGGAGGCCGAGCGTCACCGGCTGGACGCCTACCTGAGGAGGTTCACGCTGAAGGAGGCGTTCGCGGACCTCCACCGCGCCTGGCTCAGCGTCCGCTCGGAGACGTTCGCCCGCAGCTGGACGCTGCCGCGCGAACGCGAGGACCACCCGCTCGCGGGCTGCTCCACGGCCAACGGCGCCATCTTGCCGCCGAGGATCTATGCGGTGGATCAGGAGGAGGATCGGATGTTGTTGGTCGAGCTGCAGAGCCTCGCGCGGGAGGCCGGCCTCGACGCCGGCGACGAGGAGCTCGGCAGATGGATCGTCGATGAGGAGAGCGCGCTCGCGCGTCTCCCCAGGGAACCGGAGGAGGAGCAGCAGTGTCGGGTGAAGATCGAGCTCGAGGACAGGTGGTCGGAGCGCACCGACGACGAGGACGGTAACAACGACGGCGCCGAGGACGAGGACGCCGAGGACGAGCCCACCGCCGAGGAAGCCGTCGGGCTGCTCTCCAGGGTGCTCACCTGGATGGAGAGGGAACCCCTCGATCCGGGACTCCTGCTGGCGGTCAGATCGATGCGCGATACCGCCGCACTTATGGTAAGCACCGCGGCTGATAAGAGACGACCGCTCGAGAGCCTCTGTATCGATCGTCCGCGAGACGAGAAGAGGAGGAGGGAGAAAGAGACAGCGCCGGAAGAGAATGGAGAGGAGCGACGGGCGCGCGATCTCGCGAGTTCGCGAGAGAGCAGATTGAACTAATTTCATCGACTGTCACTTGACAAAGAGGGCGGTCGCCCGAGGGTGAGGGGTGGCTGAAGAAGCGGCTGGGTTACACCACTACCCTCGAGGAGCCACTCGAATTCGACGAATACGTCGGACGACGGAAAGGTCGGACGGGAACCCTCGAGAGCAGCGGCCTCCCTCCCTCCTCCCCCCTGTCTCGTCTTTGCAAATTAACGCTCGAGCTGGTCCTCGACGAGCTGGTTCCCCTTCGGGGTGAATCCAATTGGATATCGTGTTTCTTTCGAGAGTCGCCAGCTGTAAATTCCCCCGGCGTTATCCTTGCGCCTTTCACGCCGTCGTCGATCGCGCGTCACCGCGGCGCCGGCGATTCGCGCGCGCGCGATCGTGAGGTCGCGAGGCTCCGGTGATACGTAGTACGGTTGCGTCACGCGTGCGTCATGCGAACTCGTAATAAAGCGTGCGTCGCGCGACCGCCGAATAAAAAGGCGATTATCGTCGGCATGAAGATAAGGGTTAACGATCGGCACCGGCTACGCCCAGTTGATCGATCCCATCATTATGCAAGTTATTATGTACACCGTGTATATATAATGCGTTACTAACAGACGCACGGTGTATTGATAGACCCACGGCGCTCGACGAGTTATCTCGGGGCCTGCGTGACATCATGTGTCGAACGTTCGTACAGAGACTTGCCCGCATTTTCGAATACGATTATGCACCACCCTTTGCACACACCGGGGAAAAATCGGGTGGGAAGAACCGGGGTCTGACAGTTAATTTTGCTGCAGTCGAGCCGGGTTAAATGAAGATCGCGCGATATCAACGATCCAGACGGAGACAATGTTGTAGTAAAAATGATCACGAAATTTTATGATGTTCGGCTATAACGGATTTATGATTTAAATTATGATGTGTATATTGTGATCTTTAGTGACACGTATGTACGTGTTACTAAAAGTTACAATATATTAAAGCTTGCAATAATAATTTCGATTAACAGTTCCGGTATAATCGTCCAGCATACAAAATTTTGTAGTAATTTTCACTAAAATATTTCCACCGTGTAACGTGGAATTTAAACTACCAAATTTAAGTCAACGGTAGAGAATTGAAACACAACTGAAAATTATTGTTAGTTATATGTACGAGATATGTATGTATGTTCTTTCAACTAACCAGAAAGTTGCATAATTGCATAGTGAGTAATTCTACCTCAGGTGGGAGGTTAAGATGAATCAGACGATACACTCATGCATGCTGAGTCTCGGTTCTCAGTCGAACCGTTGAACTAAATTCTCAGCTTATTGTACAGAAACAAAAGATTAACAAACGCAGTTGAAATTTCGCTGGAAGAATCCGAGCAGTTTGCTCGTCATATACACTGAAAAATGAATTTGCTCGGATCTGACAACGAACAATCGAAGGAAACCGAATCTTTGCTTAGAAAAACCAAATTGGATTCATGATGAGAATCAGAAATTTGGTTTCCTTTAATCAGAACGCGTTTGATTGTCGCGTAGACCAAACTCATTTTTCAGCGTACGATACCGAAATTGAGTTCGTTTCCAACTGATTTCTTATTACAACGTGCTCGTTTATCTTTCTCCCCCACTCGTTCCCTCAGTTATTCCCTCATTTACGTCTTTTCCCCTATCGTGCTACAAATTCTTCGAGAATATATCTGAAAACATTACTAAAACCCTCTTATTCGTCCATTCCCTCATTTGCCTCAGCATGAAGGACAATCGATCGTTCTCAAAGCATCGATACGCTTCGCGACGAGGAACATGTGAAAGCCGAAGAGGCAGGCGCGGCGCGCGAGATATCCGCGTGTCATCGTCAGCACGTGCACTAACGATCGGTCACTCTGTCATTTCGCAGGCGAGCAAGATGGGCCTGACGGGGACGCATCCGAGCGGGCTTCCCTTCTTCTGTCCGAACGGGGACCACCTGACGCAACCTCCACCTGCTCACATGGGCATACCGCCGTATGCGCCACTGGACGCGGGCAAAGCAGCCGCCGCGGCCGGTGAGTACCACTGGCCATCAGTCACCCAAGGGCAGCCACCCGAGCAGCCCTGGAAACATCTTCTAACCGCAGCAGCCTCCACAGGTCAGCCGCACCCCGCACGGTTCGCCACGGGCTCGCGAGGAGCCGCAGGATCGCGCGCGCGAATCTCCCTTTCTGCCCTTTGTCCGAGAGCGCGAATACCGTCGATATCTCCTGGTCTTCGACGTCCGAAGTCATATCCTGCGCCGTATTTTCAGCGGCGCTTCTCCCGGTAACTCGAACAGTTGAAGAACATCGTACGCGATAGCTGTAGTTTCGTCATGTTTACGCGATTCGATATATATTCCGGATAATCGGACGACGATAATAACTTCGTTCTCGATGTTCATCGGTAAAATTGAGACGATAAACGTTGCCGACACAGGTGCAGGATACCGGCGGCAAGGGATCGTTGTTTCCTCTTTCGAATTCAGTTTCGCGCGAACCTGCCGTTCGCATCTTGCGGTCACGCCCGCTTTGCTTTCGTGCGACGAAGGCCGGAGATCTTTCGCGCCACGTGGTGAACCCTCTATCTGCCTGATTAGACGGAATTGCGTGTCGTCGAAGAGAAGCATGTGGGTTTGATCGATACTGTCTCCGTCGAAAGTGCGCTCGGGTACACTTTTGTGTTTTCCAAATTCGGCACGATCGAGCGGGAAAATTTAGCGAATTGTTTAGGAGTGGTGATGGCTGAGGTGGAGGTTGCTCGTAAGTCCTGTGCGGTTAAACGTAGTTAAGATCCCCTCTGTGTTTTGACTGTTCGTCACGCGCGAAGGCCGCGTGAAAACTACGAGACATTTCGTTGCGATCGTCGCAGTCTTCGCGGTCGATCGACTCGGGGGAAATTCGCGTGGCACGTTTTTGCGAGGGAAAAATCATCTTGGCGAAATTAACAGCGAAACGGCCGGCGGCGGTTATATTTCCGCACACTTTCAGCATGTCGAATTATCGCGTTTACGTATTACCACATTTTGCTGAATCTCGCGACGCGTAATCGCGAAATACATACGGCCGTTAATGGCGTAATAAAATTTCGCCCGATGCATTTCCAACGAGACATAAACTTTGAACTACCGACGGCACCCCGCCGCGCTCCCGCGACATCCCCGGTGTGTATCGGTTGAATCAACAATTCTTTCACGAAGTTAATCCGCTATTGTCCGGCCAAATATTGACGTTCCTCTCGAATTGTAATTGATGGAATACTTCTCGTTCGGATCGCGTAATCGACACGCTCCGCCCCGCGCGTCGAGAGAGTAGCGCGCGAGCGCTTTATATATAATTTTATTGTATCGAGCTGCGCAAATATTAACATGGCCGTTACGACCCGACGAGACACGAGGGAGGAAGAGCGAGTGAGAAAGAGAGAGAGAGTAAGAGAGAGGGGGGAGCTTGCGCCACGACCTTTGCGTAAACCGTTTGCGACCGCGTTAACGCGCGCAAGCCTCGTTACGGCAATTTGACGAGTGAGAAATACCGAATTTCTCGATTAACGAGCGTTATGAATAAAATCCGCGGTAGGCGCAAAATAATTTCGCTCTTCCCACAGTTCCAGCCAGAACTACGCGAGTTTGGAGGATGGAGGAGTGGATATATACGTGTGAATGCACGGTGGGAGTTCGCACAGAGAGACGCGGAAACGTCTGTGTTGAGCTCGTTCGATACTCTCTCAATCTCTCTCTCTCTCTCTCGGATTAATCGCAAGCATATTCTCGACTGAGGCTGCCCTCGAGTTAAAAGGTCTGCGCCGGTAGATGTGCAAACGCCGATACTCGGCTCCTAATTGAAGGAATATTTCTTATCAAGTCAAGAGTCATGGCGATGTCGAGATCCAAATGGGGATCGTCAAGAGGGGCGGTCCCCCTCTCAAGAAAAAGAGAAACCGCCTTCCACAAAGGAAGGAGAAGGAAGAATGGTATCAGAAAGAGGGAGGGTGGGAGGGAAAGAGAGAGAGAGAGAGAGAGGAGAGAAACTCGCGAAACTGGCGTCAAGTAGGAGAATAAGAGGAGGACTCACCATTAGGCTAATCAGCCAAGCATGCGGCCGGTCTCCCTCTGGCGCTGGGTCAAGGGGTTTCTACCCGCCTCTCTGTTCTACAAAGCTCCTCTGCCCTTAACCCACCCTCCGAAAAGCTCTCTCCCGCTCGTCGCTGACTCTCCCCTCCTCCCTCCTCCTCTCTCTCTCTCACTCATTCACTCACTCTTACTCACACCCTCTCACCTCTCAAAGATTCTACCGTCGATACGCCGACTGTCAACGCTCTCAAGACGCGACCTTGAGGAGAAGTTTTAAAGTAGCGTCATCCTGTGAAGAGCTTAATGCCGCTCCCGCAAACTAAACTTATCTCGAGACACAGTTTACGCGTCGGCCTTCGCGACCTTCGCGTCTTCCGAGAGAAAAGCTCAGAACGCGACGATCGCGCGCACGCCATCTTTAAGGGTTTCCCTATCTCTCCTCGTCTATGAAGAGGCGCGGCTAGACACTGTTGACACTCTCCTTCCCCCACTCTATTCTTTTCTCCGTTACTCTCTTCACCTCTTTTGCTCTCGCTGCCGCCCTCTCGCGCGCGCGCGATATCCTTCTTCCCTCAGACTCTGGAATATGTAGATGTGGTTGATAGCGTTTATGCACGACTACGGCGGCTCGGGTTCTTTGTCTTGCAAACGAGCGAGCCGTCCGTCTCTCTCCCCCTACCCACCACGGCTGAGTCAAGACCCGAGCTCACCCTCGCGCGTCCCCTTCCTCCTCGGCCGCTCTGGAACGACAATCTCCCCGCCGACGTCCCTCGCTGAGCCTGCCATCCACTACTACTCACTCATTCTCCCCCGTCGTTCCGTAGTACCAGCCGAGTACCGGCGGTTTTAACTTCCCTTCGCTCACCCCCCCTCGCACCTCATCTGCATCGTTCTCCATCACCCCGCAGCCTCCGTGTCCATCCTCTTCTCGTTGCTCTCTCTCTCTCTCTCTCTTCTCATTTTCGTTCTCGATTACACTCTCTCATTCTCGCTTTCGCAGATATATTTCTAATTAGCTTCACCGTTCGATCCCCGCCCCGCGCGTGTTTATTCCCGAACTCCACGGCGAAGAAGGAAAGATCGGTAGGAAACGAAAGAGCGAAAAAGATGCGACGGGGGAGAAAGAGTATAGGTAGAGGCAGCGAAATGGGACGGGAGAGTGAGATGTAAAGAGAGGGTGGGGAAACTGGCTGCCGACGATGACGACGACGATGGTCCCGGCGTTTCGTTTCGCCGGGGCTTCGTCATTGATCCGCTTAATTTCTCTCTTCTCCCGTCGCGTCCCCTCTCCCACCTCTCTTCTTCGTCCACTTCCGCCTCTCCATCTCCTCCTCCATCTCGTTCTCGTACCCTCTCTTCCTCTCCACCCAGTTTTCCCGCGTTTCTTCCGCAACGCGGACCCACCCCGCGAGACTCAGCAGTTTTCAGCCCTCGACGGTGAATGAGAGAGATAAAGAGACAGAGAGAGAGAAAGACATTCGCTTTGGTTTTTTGCAATCTTTCAGCGAATAATTCCGACTCGCTGGCGAACATTGCGCGGAAAAGTGCGCTCTCGCGGCGGCGATTCGCCGTTTCACGACGGCGGCTCCTCTATGCGTCGCGAGCGGATAATACGGGGAAAATTCGCGAACGAGAGCTCACCTTTGACGCAACGTTTCTCGCTGGCTCTCGCGGTTGCTAATTGAGATGGCGTTTTTCCCCGACTGTGCTAGTAACACGCGCCCTATCGGAGACCGCGAACGTGATTAGCCGGTCGTGATTTAGTGCTTCGACGCACCGCGGTGTGTTGCGGACGACGTTAATTTGTCCCGGCAAAATCGATATCGCGGCGACGGGAGTTGCATGTGCCGGCCTTAGGTTAAAACAACCGCAATAACACGTACCACCTTGCACTGCCGCGCGCACTTGTACGAGCTTCCCGCTTCAACCCCTTCGTCGTCGTTGTCATCGTCGACTAGCCCCCCCCCCCTCATTCCTCGCGTCGCCGCCAGCTGCGACGTTCTCCGGCTGCATAATCCTTCGTGAGAGGATTGTTCTACCTTCGTCGCAGACGGTCACCTCGGCGACATCTGCCACCCGATGGCCCCGCGTGCGATATCGTTAGCCTCACGTGTGTGCGTACGTGTTTTCTTCGTCATTTTATAATTTTATCCAACTTCGTTTTCAACCTTAACCTTTGTCGTTTTTTTTTTATCCTTTGCATTATCCTTCGCTTTAACCTTCGTATCACTGACCTTTCATCCCCCTTAGATTAGAAATGGGAACGTGAGCGCGAGAAACAAATTGATCTATCAATCGCTCGGACATTTCGGTATCGCGTATGAAGTAAAAATCGCTCTCGTTCTCTGCAGCGCATTGACCTTTCTCACGCGCGGGCGCAGCCGTTCTCGTCGCGCTCGCTCAGTTTCCAAGCTCGTAAATCGCGGCTCCCGGAAGCCGGATGGGTAGGACTCGCGGCGATAAGGGTCTAATAGAGAGCGAAATAAGCGAATCGGCGCGTAGAATTGGGCGTAGTTGGCGGAAAGGTAGAGTTGGAGAGAAAAAAAGGTATGGCCGCGAACGTCGGTCGCTGAAGTCGACTTCGGCGCCGGTCGGAAGGAAGAGTGAAACGAGCGAAGGAAAACAGGCGAAAAGAAGGAGTAGAGAGAGAGAGAGAGAGAGAGAATATCGTGGTACACGGGAACATCGGGGGCTCGAGTTGTTCGAGAATAAAAGAGTAATTTTCCGGGTGGTGAGACGCCGATAATGGGGTTGCAGACTGCCGAGTCGACTGGAAAGTGATTAAGCACACATGACGGAGCCCGCGGACTCGCCAGGATATTACGAGCCACCCCTTTCCGACCCGCCGCCATCCTTATCCGCTCTCTCCTCTCTTTCCCTCGCTCGTCTCTTCGACGCTCCTCAGTCTCTCTCTCTCTCTTCCTCCCTCCCTCCTCCCTTCTCTCTCTCTCTCTCTCTCCTTCTCTCTCTCTCTCTCTCTCTCTTACATTTTCCACCCCCGCAGCCTCACTCTCTTTTTCTCTCTCTCTATCCCCACCTGTCCTCTTC